GTGTGTTCCTGCTGAAATGCTTCAGAAAACTCATTCTTTCTTTTTCCTATGCCTATTTGAACGCTTGAGAATACTTTGCTCCGGTCCATATATTACTATTCGCTCTTCAACCCTATCCAGACACAGGCAGACTGTTTTCTCTCATATTGTTGAAACCAAGGTTCACTAACAGGTTACTTTCATTGTTTGTATAAAACTGATGAGTCTTCACTTTACTTATTTGAGCTCCAACTGGATCGGGTCATGCTGTGCTGAGTTGGCAATCTTTAGGCTGCTTCAAGATCACCCTGGAAAGAAGGTTTGCATATTTCTCTTCAGCTCAAGTTTCAATAGTATTTTTTAGTTCGTTTACATCGCTCCTCTCAAAGCGTTGGTCAGAGAACGTGCGATTCAGAAGTTGGATGACGAGAGAATAGGCAAGACAGGCTGGACTTGTAGTAGTCGACGAAATCCATCTTTTGAAAGTCGATCGAGACTCAGTTCTGGAAGCCATTGTTACCAGGTGTGTTTTCTCTTGAATTAGATAATGACTTAGAGTGTAGATTGAAAACTGTTACGCAGTGTTCAAATCAAAGAGATTCTCCTGCTCGGCTGATAGGCCTCAGCCTCAGCCTGTGCTGGTAATATTGCCGATTGGTTAGAAATCAAAGACGTAACAACTTTATTTAAAACTTCGTTCATCATTCATTGATTTCAGCAACGTTTATTTGATGTCCGTCCATCTGTACGACCTGTACCTATCAATGTTCATATTCAAGGTTTTCCTGACAACATTACTGTTCTAGGATGGTTTTAATGAACAAACCGGCATCTCAGGGTACTGAACCAGGATATCATTCATTAATGCTCATATTTAGCAATTACTACCTATTCGCCATTCAAGCCTGTTATAGTGTTTGTAGCTCCTAGAAGACAGACCCGATTGACAGCTATGTCTTTCATTTCTCATTTGGTCTCGCAAGGTAACCCTAAGCAATGGTTTCACATGGAAGAACACGAGGTTTGGGGATAAGAGTACGCTTGTGATATAAACCTCTTTGAGCTGGAAATGCATTTGATGACAATCAACATGATAACCTGAAGGTCACTCTGCAGTTTGGTATTGGAATGTGTCATGCAGGTTTGTCGAGTTCTGAACGTGGCGTTGTTGAACAGGTAAAGGAACACGGATTTTCTTGACTTACAGATATCTCCTTAGCTTTTCACGGAAAAGAAAATCCAAGTTCTCGTTGCTACTTCTACAGCCTCAGCCTACTTCTATGCTAGCTTAGGGCATCAACATGCCAGCTCATCTTGTAATCGTCAAGGGAACAGAGTGTTTTTGAATGGAA